GAAAAATGTCATTATCTGCTGTTTTATTGCAGTAATTTTCTATACAGTCCTTGGTAGAAAATTAATTTCGAATTATCGTGCCGGTTTCTCTTACATTATTTATCCGCTAAACGGTTTCGTCTATATTTTGCGGTTTAAAAGGCAAACAAACTATAAGATTTTTCTTCTTTAAACTTTAAGTGAACAATATAAAGCGCTTTTTATCAAGTGAGGAATTGGCGTAGTGTCTAAGGCGACGGACAATTATCCAAAACATGTCTTCAGTTCAAGTTCAAATCTCACCAGAGAAAATCTTAAAAATTATGAAAAAATAATATAGAAAAACTTTTTTTTTCATAGTATTTTATGAGTATTTATGAGAAAGCGCTTATTCTGAGTAATTATAAAAAATTTGAGAAAATTTAATTGAAGAACTTACGAAAAGACAGGATCTGCGCGCAATCTGCCGCCAATCTGCCGTCAGAGTCTGTCGACAGGCTCTGCGCGCAATCTGTCGTCAGAGTCTGTTCGCAGACCCTGTCAACAGTCTGGCGGCAGATTGGGGACGCAGATGTCTATGGATCTGTCGACAGATCCTGCTCGGATTCGACAGATCCTGTCGACAGTCTGACGTCAGTCTGTGCGCAGATTGCTTACTGGGATATATTGTCCACAATTTATTTAATTATTGTCTAAATTCTGTCTGCATACTGTCTATTCCATAATTAGCAAAAAGATGTCCAATTTGGGAGTTGTAAGTGGACCTATATGATATGAAGTATAAGTAAGTATTTATACAATTTTATATAGGTATATATCTTCTAGGATATATTATTATATCCAAGTGACATCAATCAACATCATACAAAATTATGTATAAAGTCTTAGAAACTTATATATAATTGCATGACGCATTCTATATATTTTTATATATTTTTGTAAAATTATATATAATTTTATGTAATTATATATAATTATGTATGAAAAATTTTTCATCGGGAATCTGCATGCCACTCCTTTACAAACTGTCGGAAAATGAGTCATATATACTTTATATAGTCTAATAAAGAGTTAAAAAATAAAAAATTCAATTTTTCTTAGAGTAAAGGGACTAAGTATATAACAAAAGTAATAAATTATTTTCCCTACCTTCACACTTCTCAGTAGGCAACGTTGTTATTAACTACTATCTTAACCTTATCATACAGCTGAACACATTACGTTTTCACACATTCTTACATGTAAAGTACCTTATCTCCATGGCGCGTATTTAACAATATGCCTAAATAATAACAACCAATCGAGAATCAACTTAGTATTTCTGTTGTATTGTATTGTACAATAGCAAGCCTGATCTTTTATTGGTTAACTTTAGGAAGTTATCGGTTACATTTTATGCGAATTTAACGAAATACGCGCC